TTCCCTAGCCAGCCATACTGGCTGGGGAATTCTGGGAATTGAAGTCCACACATTTTCAAGTTGCCAAGGTTGAGAAACACTGCCTAGATTGAACAGCATTTCCTCAGAAAGGAACAGGTATGTAGTTTAAGACTGGCTAATGGATCAGAGTTATATTTTACCAGGAAATCAAAGCAACATACATAGAAACCTCCCTTCATTTTATCCCTCCAACAACAAGCCTATGAACTAAGTTGGGCCAAGAGAGTGTAAAGGGCTCAAAATCAGAAAGTTCACATGGTTAAGAGTGGACTTGAACCAGATTCTGCCCAATCTTATTCCAACACTTTGACCACTCTAACTTAACTGCAATGATTTAAGTTACTAAAGTTACACCATTTATTTCAATTATCTTCCAGTTTTCCAGTTCCAATTCTTTTTCAGACCAAAATCACTTTTTCAGCCTTCAATGCTGCAGAAATAATTCTCTAGACATAATAGGTAGGAACGAACTTTATAAATTATAAAACTTAGAACAAATATGAATGTATTTGTATCTGGAGAACCAGGACATTAAAAACCACTTTTAGATGAACCAGTTCTGTTCCCAGAATTCAGAAGGTGCTCCTGCTGACCCTAGAAACATAATTATTTACTATGACCCATACCCTATAACAGCTATTTTAAAAATCCCACAAGATTCACCAAAAAAAAAAAAAAACAGAGCAAGATTGCTATAATGTGCTATCATGACCATATCTGGGGTTCCTATTAAGTCAGCGCTCCAGGTTTAATGAACCACTATACAAACAAGCAGGTGATCAAGCAAAAAAATAAACCAGAAAGATGGGAGTTGCGTGTGTTAGATCTGAACCCAAAATTAGAGCATGTCCAAACAGGGAAAGGATCAGAAACCAGCCTTCAACCAGTGTGATTTGTTCTAGACAGCTTTGGATTTGGAAATAACCCAGAGCAACTCCTTCTTCAGGCACATTTACAAATCCAGACTTGTTTGGTCGTACTTACCCATAACCCTGGGTTTAGGAATAAAATTAATTTCTCCCTTTCAAGTCTATTTATTCACCTGCATAAGATAATCCTCTGGCATAACATATGTTCATTCACATCATTTGCTAGAGGGCCCTCTCTTAATGTGACCTTTACAAACTTTTCTTAGAGAGATCTCATTTCTTACAAAAACAAAACAAAAAAAAGGAAATATACAATGGTATTGAAGCTTAAACCATTGTGACCACTTGGGCAGAACCTAAGTGATGCACATGAAGTTCCAGTCTATTCTGGGCTTTAGATCCAAAGTTCTCATAAAGACTGCTCTGCTCCACATTGTCTGGGTCCCCGAGAGCAGAAACGGACTGCAGGGTTGTCACAATGCGTTGTACTCCACACATTTGGATGGGTCTGTGGGGAAGTGTTTCTGGCAAATGGTCATGAGCCTCTTCAAGCCCTGCAGAGTTCAGTGCAAACAAGGTCATAATCAGAGAGCCCAAGAACTCTGTAGAATGAACACACAGATATTGCATTCGCACCTTAAAACAAATCTCTGAACCACACATCCACAGTTCTGTTCCTCTTACCTGGATGTATTTCCTCTGAGTTTCGTCATTTAAAACGTGAGCCACATGCTTTGAGAAGATCTTCTCTCGACCAGTACGGGCGTGGATGCCAACCATAGTGACGCCAATCGGCCATGGAGCATTCCCAATAGCCATCTGGAGATAGGCATCGTTGGCCTACAGAAACAGCCTGGTCAGTATCAGTCAAGGCAAGGAAAACTTAAGCAACAGCAGTTCTGAAATTCTGCTCTTCAGAAACAGACTGACAATTCTAGACTCTGAAGATCTTCCTGCCCCCATGTTATAAACTTACATTTCCTAAGCAAGCAAATAAAATAAATATTGCTCCAACGAGTAAGCTGCTTAGACTTTATTTATTTATTAAATTTGTATACTTTCAACATCTCAACCCAAAGAAGCGCCAGGATTTAAATGTCATGAGACTCTTTTAAATTGGGTAGTACCTTCACGTATTCCCTTTGCAACATGAACTTGATAATATCTGTTATTGATTCCTTGATGTCTGCAGGAAGAGTCTAAAAACAGATGAAACACAAACACTGAATGAGCAAGAAGTGAGCAAAGCAACATACAGCAAGTTTTTCAAATCTAATAGCTGGGAAAATGCTATCCAAAGAAGGAAAAATAAAAGAATCGGAGACACGGTTGATGGCATAAACAGCTAAAAGTATTTACTTTAAGCATGTAAGAATAAAAATTAGTTCTTCCGTTTGCGAGAAAAAAAACATGTTTTTTGCAAGGAAATCCATGTTCCATTCAAAAAGGCCCAGGGTCTATATTCATGCATAAATTAGCCAAATCTTGATTTATCCTGATTAGGAGACAAGCCCCAAATGCCAAGCTATCCACAACAGACCTTCTCCTCTAAGGGCCAATAAAGTGCTCTTGACAAAATAACTAAAAACACATGATGCACAGACGCAGCAGA